AACTGATATTAATTTCTAAAATGTATGTTGGCTTATGTTTAAGATAAGTATGTTGGCTTATGTTTTAGATTAATTTTTGATCCTCTTAATATTATAAGGGGATCACTGTTAAGTTTAATATCATTTTAACTTTGAACAAAAGTATATAAACAATACGTTGAAGAGGGAAAGACGAAGCTATTACATAAGAAAGCTTTTTTTTTTTTTTTGTCAACTACATAAGAAGCTTCAAACCATGTTTTTTTATTTATTTGCTAAAAGTTTTAGGGGTTTTAAAGCTTCAAACTGTGTTTCAATATTTAATTACATAATTGTTATAATATCTCAATTCTAATCATATATAGACTTTTACAAAGTCTTCGCTCGGTGGAATATCGCTATCTTGACCAATGTTATCTGTCACATATACATGTTACGTATGTTAGTTTCCAGAAAAAAAGGATAGAAAAATACTGAAATATTCGATATTTGATCTATCAAATAAAAGTATATTTAATACAATAAGTCAACAATACCCATTGTAGACGACACAAGGTCAAGGTCAAAATCGTCATATACGGAAATGATTTTATGTACAAATATATTTTTACCAGAGACTAGGTGAATACTGAATACGTCCTTTGATTTTGTCTAATTTGGTCTAATGACTCTGGAAAGGAATATTAAGAGATCACACTCTATCCAAAGTCCTTTAATATCTTTTTTCAAGGAGGATCAAGAATATTATGAATCCTTAAAGATGTTAAGAGTGATTGAAGCCACTGCCAATGGACTATATATGGCTCGTGCCAGCTGCTCGCTCTGAGAATATTTAGAGACTCCAAATAGCTCTCACAGCCACACCTGATGCGTCTCGCGGCTACGGTAAGTTTCTTTGTTGCACTCCAACAGTTCCTTCGAAAGCAACTTAAGAACATGTCAGAATGCTTTCTCCTCTTTTTGTTTGGACCAAAAGTGGCATAGTTTAAGGAGTTAGTACCGTGTTTCTCTTTCTTTTGTTTTTTGTACCTCAGGAAACGAAAGCCATGAACGTTTGTTTTTTTTTTAAGTGTGGTTTCCCAACATCAATCTGGCAAGCCCTTGCAGCAAGGGTTTTGGCATAATCCTCCTTCGGGTTTATTTGATGTCGCCTCGTGGATTCTACAATCAACAGAATAACAACAATCAACATCCGCCATCATTGCTAAGCTCTTGTTTCGAGTAACAGTTTATGGATGCAAATGCTTGTACATTTAGATTAATACGATGAAATTAAGTATTATTCTAGATTTTTTACTTAAGTGGAATAAAAATTGTTGGAATTAATCATTTCTCTAAATTTTAACCATTTGAGTTTGAATTCTTATAAAAACAATTCAACTCATTTCACTAATTGTACAAAATAATCAGAGCCGGGTTTGAGCACAGCCAAAGAGGCATGAATCTTGGGTAAAAAAAAAAAATTATCATTATTAACAAATGGTCCCAGGTTTTATTTTGTTCATGCAAAAAATTCCAACTTTTTTAGTTTTATTTTGTTCGGGCCCCAAATTTTCAAGAACGGTTCTAA